CCATTCGTCAGACACACATACAGATTCATTTAAAACTTTTTCCTGTTCTTAATTCCAGTGTGATCATGATCAGTGATTTAATTTACATTTTCATAATTATTTAGTACACTCAATTTGGTACATTTTTTGAATATATTAAATGACAGAGATTTTTAATTTCCCTTTTAAGGTTATTCCATAATTTAACACCATTTACAGATATATTCCACTCCTTAATTTTAGTTCTAAGTCTAGGTTTTGTAAACACATCAGTTTCTTTCAGCATGTAATTACTAGTTCTCTTTTCAAATATCCCCTGAATGTTTGTTGGTAGAGTACCTAAATTGGCTTTATACATGGTTTGTATGATTTTCCAGTCATTTAAATCATTTCAGTAATTTATATTTAATAAACAATGGGTTCGATGGATCTCTACAGCTGCTATAAATGATGATTCTCAGAGCTCTTTTCTGTAAATAAATAAGGGTTGTGTATAGTTTTTGTATGTTGCTCCCCAGATTTCTACACAATAACAATCAGTGAATTGTACAATGCCAACAAACCAGAATTAGTCAGTAAAAACTTGACTCTATGTAATACTCCTAAGCAGGGGTGGCGTTAGGCCCGGCTACTTGGGCTCAAGCCCTGAATGTCTTATGAAAAGACTAGTGCGTGGTATGTGTGTTACTGTAAATTCCAGAACTATAATGATTTGTTTGGGAACACTTCAAAACAAGGCTGCATTTATTAACATTACTTAGTGCATTATTAAGCATTAATAAACAAAGGGTTCCTTTATCAATCTAACATTCCCGATATTATTAACTGTTAAGTGCCCTTAAGGTTAGGAAAAAGAGTTGGGGGGTTGCTCAGTAATGCGTTACACAACATTAATATAAAGTAATTGTCAATACTTGATTTAATAGTTTATGAATGCTTAATAATGCACTAATTAATGCTAATAAAGGCTCCCTATTGTAGAGTGTTGCTGAATTTTTTTCCTTTACCCTCAAGAAAAATGCAAACATATTTTTTGAAATGATGAAACCATTTGAGCAATACACATTATTATATAATAGAATATAACGGGGCGGCGTTAGGCCCAGCTACTTGGGATCAAGCCCTGAATGTTTTATGAAAAGCCCCGGATCTAAATCGTGGAAGTAACATGCAGTACCAAAGTCCATCAGAGAGGGAGCAGCTGGCAGTAGTTTGTATACAGCCTGCCTGAGCCTCCACCACTGAAGAAGCCCTTCAGCAGCCGGCTTCTTCAACAGTCTCTGCCTGAAACGCATGAGTGAAGATGGACATAAGGACGTTTTTAGACCAAAAGTACAACGGCAGAACCCCAGCTTTGATGAGACTGGTGTTGACTCAGGTTTGTGAGTCTTATTTGAAAATATTTGTTGTGCTGCTGGTTTGCCTAAAGTTAGCTTACTAGTTGTTGGAGAAAGAAAGGGAATATTTACTATCATCTCACACTAAACACTAGGGCTGTAGCGAAGCCTCGATGACGTTGACGGCTCGATTCTAAAAATTTGTCGACGTCAGATCCGGTAGTAGACGCACCACGCCCACTTGTTGCATCCCCAGGAGTTTGTAAATAGAGAAGGAATCTGCCTGTTTTTCCTCTAGTTCGCCCTCTTCTCCGTCTCACTAACGTCTCCACCAAATACCGAAGAACCGGAACAATGTTCGTCCGCTACTAGATTCCTTTCCTGTTTTGCCCGCCTTCGTCTCTCGGCAACGGACAACAACTTCCGGGGTCAGATGCGCTGCTTCGTTTCTATCGCAGATGTAGAAAATCACCGGGAGCATTTCTCCCTTCATAAAGGAGCTTCTTTCAGACATTAGGAGAGCTGTTTTGGTGGTAGTAGTCTCTCCTCCGTGCTGGTCTGCTTGCTGCTGGGTATTTTTGGTTTATTTAAACTTGGTAACTTCAACTTTACGTTGGTAAAGCTACTGTTAGCATTTTTGCTAACAGCTTCTTGCGTTTGGATAAGCTGTTACGTTTTGGTTTAGAGTTCATCTTTTTTGGGGTGTAGATCTCCCTTTTATTATATTTAGAGTGTCGTGGGCTTTTGGTTTAGTTTAAAATATCACCTTGAGTTTGGTTTAACCACCCAGTTTAGAGTTTGGACCTTTGGAGATCCTTATTTTGGTCCAGAACCCTGTAATCTTTGCCCAGTGGGACATCCCTACTTATTTGTACTTTTGTTTTAATTCCCCACAGGCAGAATTAGTTTATTATTCCCAACCTATGGATGGAAAGATTTATGTTTTTTTGTAGTTGTAAATAAACCTGATCATCATTTTAACTTTTAAATCCCACATTATTGTCCCTTCCTTTTTGCACATGAGCCAAACTCGGGTCGTAACACCACTCGCCTCACGCTCATAAGTGAACAAAACAAAGCAGCATGGAGACACTCCGTCTCCAACCATCTCTCAGGCAGCAGCCTGCACTCCCAAGTTCTACACGTCACCAGAACATAACCAACCACAACACAATAAAAGCAGTGTTACACAAAATGGAAGGCCTGTAGTGTTTATTCTCTTACAGAAATAATTTATTTTTTTGAGGAATTGATTAGAGATTTTTTGTTTTTTTTAGCTGTGCAATAAAAAAATAATCACTAGATTAATCATCTAGTCATTAGAATAGTCGACTGTTCGATCAAATAATCGTCAGAATAATCGTTTTAAAAATAATCGTTTACCCCCAGCCCTATAAACACTAACAGGAACAATACTCTACCCTGAATACGCTTAATTTGTAGCTTCAGATTAAAAATAATGCAGTACAAGACAAATATATATGATGTTGACCAGTGCGTGTCGTGTGTTAAGCCCCGGATCTTCTTCAGTCCTAAATCCGCCCCTGGAATATAATGTAATAAAAATGAAAACATTCATAAAAAATACAAGAATTGATAAATAAGTAAGATGAGATATTACATTTTTTATTCTAAAATACTTTTTAGAATAATTTTCTGTTTTTATTTTTCTATCAGAAGTAAACGGTGTCAACCTTCCCATGAAGATGTTAAAAGTTAAATAAAAGTCAATATTAATAATTAACACAGACCCATGGATATTATCGACAGTTTATCGATGAAAACAACCTTTGAGTCTTCTTAAAACTATACAATTTGGTTATTAATTTAATAAAATTAATATCACAAATTAAAATGTAGAGTGGTTCCTCTTTCATAAAAGAGCATAAACCATAACGCAACAAATATATGAAATTATTACTCACACCTTCAGTGTGTGAATGGGTGAATGACTGAGTAAAGCACTTTGTCCTCTCACTCAGACAAGTTTGGGGGTCATTAATTGTTTACTTATCACATCTCTATTAACAGATTGTTATGCCTACTATTTCTCCTACTAACTAACAATCTGTTTTACTCACATTAGGATCAGCCAGGCTATCTCTGGTTTTGTGTGTAAATAATTGTGTCGTCAGCATACAGATTTAATTTATTAGTCACATTTATTTCAAAAACATTCGTGATGCAAAGATCTCTGACACGACGTCACTAGGCTGCATCCTGTTTCTGTATCAGTAAGCTGCTGCTCACAGAGGAGATTGTATAAAACAGGAAGCCGAGTCTGTGGTGAAGCTTTATATCAGATTAATCAGTGGTGCAACTATGGGGGGAGGTGGGGTGTTTATGGCCACCCCTTTAGATCCATTCATTTATTTACTTTATCTTTTAATTTTTGTTTGTTTTCCATTGTGTAACAAACCCCAGACTCAAATAGTCTTAAAATGATGACATAGTAATTCATCCAACATGGGCCACCTATCTGTTTCGGTTCATGGTTTTGGAGCCAACATGAAACAGTCAGAGGAGAGTGGTCACCAAGGTCAGGAGAACCACACCAGCTGCTCCAGATGGACTGCAGCGGCAGAAGACCACACCAGGTGTCTCTCCTGTCAGCTAAGAACAGGAAGCTGAGGCTACCGTTCACACAGCATCACCAGAACTGGACCAGAAGGGACTGGAAAACCTTTTCTGGTCTGATGAGTCTAGAATTCAGCTGTTGGGTCAGAATTGGCTGTCACCACCATGAAAGTGTGAATCCATCCTGCTTTGTATCAAGGCTTCAGGCTGCTGCCGGTGGTGTTCTGGCCCCATCCACCTTGGACCCCTCAGTCCCATCTGAGCCTGGTTTAAACACAGCCTACCCAAGTATTGTTGCTGACCATGTCCATCCCTTTATGACCACATGGACCCATCTTCTGATGCTGCTTCCAGCAGGATCATGCAGATCATCTCTAACTGGTTTCTAGAACGTGGCCATAACCATGGACTCCAATGGCCTCCACAGTCACCAGATCTCAGTCCAGAACCTTTGGGGTGTGTTGGAACGGCATCTGCTGCTGTCATGTCAGGATGGACCAGAACCTCTGAGGGACATTTACAACATCTTGCTGAGGCAGTTCTGTAGACAAAAGTGGTCCTGTCTGAGGTTACATGAAGTTAACAGCAGGTTGTGAAACTGGTTTAAGAGCACGTCTCAGTAAATGAATCTGCCTGATGAGGATCTATCTGCTTTATTTTCTTGTGACGGGGCAAAAACAAGACCAAGAGAAAAAGCCAAAAAGATCAAACACTGAGGAAAAAGTCGTCATCCAACAAAAGAAAACAGCTGATTAGGTTTAATGGAGTTCTGCAGGTAGCAGGAGGGGAGCTGTCCAATATGCATGTGTCACACACACACACACACACACACACACACACACACACACACACACACACACACACACACACACACACACACACACACCTCCTCCATCAGCTCCCTCCGTGTGAATGAATGAAATAAATAAACAATGAATGGTCCACTCTCCTCGCGCGCCCCATCCCATCTCATGCATGGCTGCCAGTTCTGGTCTGCTGGGTGTCAGCTTTTATTGGCACGGCACAAAGCGTGCCAAGGGTTCGGCGGCTCGACTTCCCGCTGCAGACTGTGGATAAAAGCGAGCAAAATGCCCCAGCCGAGCTCAGAGACATAAGTCATGTTGGGCTGGAACGAGGAAGTGCAGTGGAGAGGGGAGGGACTCCGGGCGCAGCTCCATGGGGCCGCCGCGGCGCTGCGACCTTCTGCACATGGAGCCGGGGACAGTTGGAAGAACTTCATACTGCAAACTCAAGGAATAGCAGGTAAAGTCACCTCCACCGCAGCGCTGCCGCTGTCCGGCCTCACAGACAGCTCTGAACCTTTAGGGAAACTAAACCAGCTCTATAGTGAGTTTAGGAAATTTTTGCGCCTAACTGGGAATTCAACTAAAACACTCAGCAGCCTCCTGGTAGTTTCGGTGCAGGTGCGCCTCAGCATCAGGTCCGGACTGGTGCGGCTCAGCCGCCACCAAATATGAGTTTTTATTATAGAACAGCACCAAACAAACACACCATAAAACACCTAATGCAGGAAAATCGGTTCCTTTTTCCGCGTTTTTGCCACTTTACATTAAGGAAGTAGAGGAAATGTTCCCTTTTTCCCACGTGTTCTCTTTCAGGGATTCATCCAACTTTTATTTTTTATTTTAAATCAACTACGTTTATGAATAAAGTCTTTAAAAGTTTCATGACTTAGATGTTTTGGTGTCATTTCAACGCTTTGACGCTTCAGGGTGCGCACTTGTTGCGACAGTTGCGCGCATTTGATCAAATCCTGCAGTTCTTAAAAGTTGTTTTTAATGATGAAAGAGTCTTTTTGTGCCAGTTTTTACAAAATATTTTTATTTAAATGGGATAAAATAATCAGAGGGCCTCGAAACAAACGGTGAGGAGAAATATGTGTGCGCGTCTTTAACAGGAAATCAGCGAGCGGCGCTCAATCTAACCATCAATAATGGAAATATGTGATGATTTCATACCTCAGCGTTAGTGCGGGTCTGTTCTCTGTCCAGCCTTTGAGTCTGAAAGAAGAAGAAGAAGAAGAAGAAGAAGAAGAAGAAGAAGAAGAAGAGATAAATGAAATGTAGGCAGGACTCGGGAAACTTTTTACGCAGAGCAGAAAAAGTTGTTTATCAACGCCCAAAGCTGAAAGATGCACCAACAAGCTGCTTTTGCTTCTAAACTCAAATTTAAAAAGAAAATTACAAATGTCACATTCTCCCATGCTTCTTTTATCTATAAATTAAAAAAATCACTAACGTTTAAAACACAATGTGTCCACTTTTTTGTGAATTTATAAACCAAAACCAGCATTTCTGTCGATTTTAGTCTTTTTTTTCTAAAGTTGATGAGTAAAAGTCAATTTCAGAAACATTCGTTATTCGTGTTGTTCTGCTTTTTATCTTCTAAAACTCAAATCTAACACTTTTCAAAAAATAAAAATGATGATTTAGTCCTAACTTTTAAAGTTGAACACAGAAAATGCCAAAATGGGAGATGGAAGTAGAAGTAATCAGTCTGCAGATGCACCATCTTTCATGTGTGTGTGTGTGTGTGTGTGTGTGTGTGTGTGTGTGTGTGTGTGTGTGTGTGTGTGTGTGTGTGTGTGTGTGTGTGTGTGTGTGTGTGTGTGTGTGTGTGTGTGTTGAGGAAGACAGACAGTTATTAAAATGATTGTACTGTCTGAATAGCAGAGTAGTGAAGTGTGTCAGATGCAAATTAAGAAAACTTCTTCTGGGTGCACCTTTACCCCCCCCCCCCCCCCCCCCCCCCCCCCCCCAGGCTCCCAGAACACATCTGCTAACACCATCTACCCACTTCCACCCGTACACTTCATGAATTACTGATGAGGATCTCTCTAAAGACGCACCGCTTTGCCTCACAGTGTATCATAATCACTTTTCCTTGTGATTGATAAGAAAGGTCACTTCGCCGCTCCTCTAGGAAACACAGATATGTTCGTTGTTATGTCCAGGGTGGACACTTTTACAGTTTAAATGTAAATAAACGTGACAAGCATGAAACTTTTTCTAAATTTTGTACGTTTTCTGGCTTTATGTTGAGTTTCATGGTTAATTTAAAGAAACCGTTTTTTCTGAGGATCCTTTCTGCTGGCGTGGTCCTCGGTATCTGTTAACGGTTTTGTTGTTTCTCATCTCCACCCTGCTCCCTGGTGCAGCTTCTGCACCTCTCTCACTTACACACACACACACACACACACACACACACACACACACACACACACACACACACACACACACACACACACAGCCCACAAGCGTCTTCCTGCATCTCCCCACTTGATAAAACTCTGACCAAAACTGTTCCAGCTCCGCTGCGTTTGGTGTCACAAGGTTCCACCTGCCTCGCTGCCTCTGCTCGCCACTCACGCTGAGTGAGTGGATGTAGGATCAGAATGGTTACGACTCGTACGTTGAGGGGAAAATGGATTGTTTTACATCTGCTTTCATTAAAAGTGTCCTTCTCTAAGAGGGAAAACCAGAAACGGAGGAGTAAACGGCCTCGCTGGCGCTTCAAAGTCGACAAAAATGTCGGCGTCAGTTCAGCATCGCAGCCTGAACTGAAAACAACTTCCTGAATGTTCTACGGGCTCATCACTCAACACACGCCAACACAAGTGGGTTGTGGCTGTGAATAGGAACTTGCTTTATTATTAATTATTTATTTTTAAACCAGACCACTCCACACTCCCTGCCACCCCACCGACCCATCCGTGTCTCCCCAGGCGCCATCTGCACAGAAAAAAACAGAAAGAAGGAAACAAGGGCGCACCAAGTCTGCCTCGGTTCTCCAAACTCCAGCTGAACAGAGGAGCGCGGTTAGAGCTTGGTGAAGTAACACAACGCAGCCTGAAACAAACCGCCACCAGTGACCTTTGAACTCCTCCTCCGTCCTTCCTTCTCCCTTTCTGTTTGCGTCTCAGGCGCCTGATGGCATTGAGCTCCTGACTCGGCTCCGCAGAACCTCGTCAGTTTCGACAGAGCAGTCTGGTCGCTTCCAACTATTTGTTCCAAATGTGTGGAGCCATCTGTCAGTAAAACAGGAAGGCCTTGGTTCCCCTTCTCCCTTGGGCTCATTTTGCTATTTTTGGGAGCTTCACTTCTCCCCGTGTGGCTGCTTGGACCGGGCCGCGGCCCCAACGTGGGCTTCTTCAAGTGCCGGAGCCGGGGCTGAGGCTGCCGGGCCCATCTGCTGCAGGCTTCAGGACCATTCATTATTAATGTGGCCACGAGCATTGGTGACTCCTCAGATATGCAGCCCTGGCCAGAGGATCGTTTCTGGACTGCACAGCACCGCCTTGTTGAAAAATAAATAAATAAATAAAAATAAAGAGAACTTCTCTGTCCTTTGGCCTGCTTTTCTGCCTCTTTCCTTTTCTTGCACCTTCCTGCTCCATAACTGTCAGACCTAAAACCTTTCTAACACAACTCATCAGGACATAAAAACATTTATTTGTTTATTTTTGTCCAGACAAACTTGATCATTTGTGAAATCAACTTTAAAGAGACATTTTAAGGAAATTATGCCTGAAATTCCAACATCTGCTTTATTATAATAATCTATGCAATACTCTAATTGTAAGAGAATCTTTTTTTAATCACAAAAAGAGATTTTGTTCAAATGTTAAAGCTTCTTTCGATGGCCCATTGAGGTTGCCACGGTAACCCGTTTGTGACTTTTTAAGGTCAGCGTGGAAACCACACACATCCGTCTCACACTCAGGAAACTTAATAAGAGGCAGACAAGAAATAAGAAGTATGCCTCAGACAACCAGCCTCTGTGACTTTAAAACGCCGGAGTGGCAGAAAGCTCCGACAGTCACACGTGTGAGTTGTTAGGTTTTTACTGTGTTGTGTGTAGGAGACATGACGGATTGAAAAGAGTCTTCATTTTGAGTTCTGGAGAGAATAATTGGCGTTGTCGCTCTGCACTCAAAGCGTAATCCCTACAGCAGTGAGATACACACGGAGTGAAAGAAGACAAAAATACCAAAGTTTTGATGAATTATTCTACAAACTGTGAGAATCAAATTGACTTGTTTACCAAAGGAATGAAAACTTTCTATGAAGGAAACCAGATGCTCTTTTAGGTATAGGCTGTGCCCTTTAAGCCTTGCTGCTATTGGGAAAGCGCTCTCAGTTAGTATAGTATCTACCTTAAGCTAGTGTCTAGCTAAAAATGCTACAGGGTGTTTACAGTATGATGCTTCTCATTGGCTAAAACCTCAGACAGATGTGAGAAGCTCACTGATAGAGTCCATTTCTGTAAAAACGTAGAAACGGTATAGAACAGATAGGAGTTTTCCGCCCCGACAGTGACATTTTGGACCTTTGACTTCCCCCTCTCTCACTGTAATCTATTTCTCCGCCTCTATCTCTCACTTTCCCCCTCTCGCTCGCCGTTGTTTCTGATTGCGTCTGTGCTCGGGCCTTGGCTCAGCGATGCATGCTCAGTAAATTAGAGAGAACATGAGCGTCGATCAGCTGGGCATGGCAAACACCCGCATCCTGGGTGACCCAGAGGCCAGTTAATTTTCTGCTTAATTTTGCGGCAGTCATTTTGCATTTTTGGATGATTACGTGGCAGGAATTTAACAATAAATAACAAATGTGGTCTGAAAGCCCATTCCCAGCTACCGCGCTGCCTTCAGCGGGAGCCGGGCCGCTCGATAGCCCGTCTCTCTGTCAGACTTCTAATGAAAATGTCTGCAAATCTTTGTAATGCAATGTAGAGGACGGGGGTGTGACTGCTGCTGTGACACGAGGTGTCTCCCTGAGCCGACGGAGTCACGCCAAGAAGTGCACCCTTAGCTCCACTCAAGCTTTTATAATGCTGTTGTCCCCCCAGCCTGCTCTTGATTAAACTTATACACATCTACATTTCTTCTCTCCCCCATTAGAATACTTGCACCACATGGAGACAGAGGAGGCCCAAGAAATGGCCCAGATGTCAGGTAAAAGCTCACCTACTTCATGATTGAAACTTAGCACACACAGTTGATACAATAGGCCGACAAATAGCCTCTTACACCACGCAGAGGTAATTTAGCTTCCCCTGAATGAGTCGAGTCGAGAGGTCGCGCTGTGACTGATAGGTGTTGCTGCTACGTTTGTCTCCCCAGGCAGGGAGAGCCCCCCTGCCAATGAGGCGTCTGAGGAGGCGGAGGAGCCCATGGCTGTCCCCGAGGACCTGTCGGCCGGTTCCGCCCACCAACAGAACAACCGCGGGGACAAAGGTATGAGGCAGTTCCTCCCCAACACACACAGTCAGATGAAGAGCACATGTCGCCATTTTCAAGTGTTTCTCTGTAGAAGTAATAATATCTTAGCTTCCTGGTCTGCCTTAGCTCGAAGAAATAGCGTCATCGGCCCTTAGCACAGACGAGCTAACAGCTAATCTGATTGTAGACAAGACCAAAGTGAATTTCTGTTGTCTAAAAACAAACTAAATGTATATTTATGCAAACCTTTTTGCCACTCTCTACTTTTGCATGACTGTTATCATTTGGGCAGAAATATAAGTGATCCCTGTGTTTGGCTGCTGCTAGTGAAATTTATCCACATAAACTAATTCCACGAAAATGGCCATGAAGAAGAAATAACCACTTAAAGTAAAACTGGTGTTTCTGTAAAGATCTACGAGTGAAATGAAGTTAAATTTAGATAAGAAATCAGTTTCCTTTGAACGTGCACACAGAGCTAGCTTAAAATGACCAAATCACAAAGAGTATTGCTGCCATCTTAAACCTTCTTATGCTAACTTTTTGTTTTAAATATTTTTACCAAATATGATGAAAATGTCAATGTTTCTAAATGAACGTTTGGTTTAAAGTAACATTAAAGAGATTGGAACAATTGTAAGAGGGCAGCAACCCCCTTGGGAAGTTATAGCATGACTAAAACCTACTTTTATGTACCACTGGACCCCAATTCCAAGTGTATTGCTGTCATATTTAATCAGACACACTCGACAAAATGTCATAGTTAACGCTAACAATAACTGATAAATCCTTTCACCACCAGTGGTTTAATTTTTAGCAGAAATTTTAAGAAATCCTTGCCACATTTGACCCCTGGGTGCAATTATTGTTGCAAATTATATTTGAGGTCCATGTAAATTAGCCTAGCTTAGCACCAATCCACTTTGGCAGGAGGAACGTGGTGCTGCCATCTTAAAACAGATCTCGTCTACGAACTTTTATTGCAGTTCATGCAAATCATTTACTCAAGCTGTGGATCCTCTATAGGGAGCCTAAGTCACGCCCACCTAGCTCCTGACCTTGGGTGTTTCTCAGTGTCAAGGCGCCTGGCCTTGCGAGGCGATGTCTTGCAAGGCTAGGCGCCTTGCTTACGAGGACACGGTCCTTCCTTGGTCAAAGGAAACGGTTAAATGGAACAGACTTGCATCACGTGACGGCGACTTCCACTGCGGTCACGTAACATCACGTGACACTGGATATAACGTTATATTTTATACGTATAAGTTTCAATATACATATATAACGAGCCTTTTACTTTCTAAATTGTGTATATATTTTAACTATATAAGTGAGTTACTACCCGCTAGCCACCGAAGCTGCAACCACTAAGCAACTAACCAACAATAGATAACTTCTTTGGATCTAAAAAGAACATTTAAAATTAGCTGACTTACTTTTAAACTTGAAAATTGTCCCCGAAGTAGCTGCCGGCATCTGATCCGCCATCCTTTTGAAAATACAGCGGTGCATTGTGGGTAATTTTTGACCAAGGCTAGGCTACAAGACACCTCCCGTGTGTCCTTGCTCAGCTAGCTAAACGGCTAACAAACAGAGAACACATGCCTCGGTAGAACATGAACATTGGAACACGTCTTGGCGGCTCCCAATGACGTATCTCCTAGGCAACCGGGCCGGGCCAAGACAATGCGGTCAAGGCTCCTTTGCATTGAGAAACACCCAACGAGTCCCAACGGGGCTATAAAAGCTGTTTCCTAATCTTGCTTGTTATGTGCCACGGATTTCACATCAGTGAATTTTAAAGACGCATTTTGATGCCAGGAATGGGCTTTTTTCGAACGGCAGCAAAGCTACTTTAGGTTTTGTGTGAAAAGACGTGTGTAGAACTACGAATGTTCATCTCACTAAATTCACGTCATCGAACCGGATACGAAGGAGAAGAAAAGTTTAGTTTATTGAGCTTCAAATCCTTTTTCTAGGACGACAGAAGGAACATTAAACATGGAGAAAACCATTGTGATTCTGGTCATGTAGTAGCCGCTACGCTGGGGGCAGAGATGCTGTGGTGACATCATGTATGCGAAGTCTGGTTTGTAGTCACTTTATTTAGGAATATTTCCAAGCTGATGATAGACTCACATCATTACTTTCCATTTCAATTGAAGTACAATATATGTTTGATTCAGGGCGTAAGGCAAAGCCATTAGAAAATATAGCTTTTATGGCTCTGATGACTTACATGAATTTTTTTCTTTGT